AAACAAAATGTTGAGGGTAACACAAACAAAAAACGCCCTGCTGGATGGGGCCACTATAGCAGAAGATCTATACACAACACCAAAGGACTGCGAAGAGGGCTTCGAGAGCCTCGAGTTGCCGGGCAAGAACCCAAAAAAACTGAGCCCACGTTCAACATGCAAGTGTCTAATTAAATATTAAATGAAGTTGTTTATATTGACCATCCATATGTTTTTATGCAGTCCTTCGTGCTGGAGTTCTGACAACAGTTCGGGGCTCCGCTTACATGGAATATGGCAACACAAAAGTCATGGCCATTGTGGCGCCTCCACACGAGCTGATGCGCGCCACCGCCCGCCGCATGAACATGGGCGTCATCAATTGCTTTGTGAACTTTGCGGCCTTTGCCACCGGGGAGCTCGAGTCGGTGCCGGAGCGCGAAAAGCACCTGGGCAGCATGTTGTCCAAGGCCCTGGAGCCAGTTGTCTGCCGCACAGAGTTCCTCAACTTCCAGCTGGACATCCGAGTGCTGATACTGGACGACGACGGCTGCCTGCTCAGCACGGCCATCAACTGCTGCGGCGTGGCCCTGGTTGAGTGCGGCATCTCCACCTATGACCTGGTCACGGCCTCCACGGCGTGCATATATCGCGACAATGTGTTCCTCAACCCCACTGCTAAGGAGGAGGAGCTGCTGCGTAAGCATCGGGGAGGCCACGCGCTGGCAGGCAGTGAAAACAGCAGCAGTACCACAACCGGCGCTCCCCAAGAGCACGGCCTTATCACCACTGCCAGCATGGACACCTTTGATCAGCTGGCCCAGTGCCAGCAGTGTGGCTATCTCAGTCCCGGCACTTATGTAAAACTGCTCGACTACACCCTCGCCATCAACAAGTCGCTGCGGCAGATAATACGTCGCGTCCTCACGGCACGCATCAAGGAGCAGCACGAACTCGATGTCCGCGAGAAGGCCGAGAGCGCCCTGGAAGACCAGCGTTTGGCGGAGATCATTGAGCGACTCGGGCGGCAGGGCTTAGATGAGTTTATCCAATCCACCATCAAGGAAGATCCATTTGTCAAGAGATAAAGTTTCCCCCAAATAAATATTGCTCCCACGATCAATATAACTTGTTCTCCAAATTGAAATGTTTACTTTTCAAGCTAAAAATAGGCCGAAATGCTTTAAAACGCTACTTTGTCTTACTGCTGATCCGTGGAGGCCTCCAGCACGGCGCCGGAGTAGGCCAGATCCCAGTAGTGCTCCACTTGATGCTTCTGAAAGAACTCGCGCGCCATTTTCTCCATGGGAAAGATCTTGAATTTGATCTCGCCAAAGTGACGACGCTGGCTGGTGCCCTCCCAGACTAGGACACACGAGTTGGGCACGTCCTGGCCATCGTTGCCCTTGGCTAGATCTTCGTCCCACTTGATGCGCGTCAGCATGAGGCGGCGGTACTTTTTCTGCTGCTTGGGACCGCCTTCCACCACCACGACACAGCAGTCGCGGAAGAGGGCAACCGTGCCCGTCATCTGCAGCTGTTTGGCATTCGTCTCCACCTTGAACTTCTTGCTCTGATTGTCCTGTAGGTCGCGTATGCGATAGACGCTCACATGGACGCCGCAGCTGGTATCCTCCTTGAGCTTGCGCTGCTTCTTCTCGCTCTTCTGCTCGCTGGTCAGCTTCCTGGCATTGTTGGCATCCTCGTGCGCCTTCTGCCGCTTGGCCATCTGCTCGCGCACATGCTGCTCCATTTTGGTGGGATCCTGAACGGCATCCGAACCGAGCACCCGCATCAGATTCGAAATGCGCAACTTTGGCTCCGGCGGTGCCACTAGTCCGAGGCGTATCTTCTCCTGTTCCTCCTTCCAGGCCTCACGACGATTCTGGCGGCGCAGCTTCTTGCGCTCCTTCTTGGTGAGGAATACGGGCAAATAAACCGGCTTCAACGGCTCATCTGCAAAGGCGGAACATTGTTAATTGTATTTACGACATGGAAATGGGAGTGAGTGTTTGTAACGTACTTGGCGGCTTCATTTGAGTGGGATGCTCGATGAGGTTGCTGATGGCCGTCTGGCGTATGCTTATCTTACCGCTTCCCTCGTCCAGCGTCTGCAGATCCTGTGTGAGGATAACAGAGTCCCACCACTCCATGGCCGGCACATCGTCGGGCATGTCCTGCTTGGGGGCAATCAGCGCCAGTTTTGTAGCCGACGAGATGCCCGTCTTCCTGGCTATCTGCGATATTTCGTTCTGCAGCCGCTCCAGCTGGCTCTTCATGCGCATCCGCTCGGCCAGCTGCTGGAACTTGCCGGGCTCGTGAAAGCGCAGCATTCGCTTGTTCCGCACCGTCGGCTTTAGGGCGATGCGGTCGTCAAAGTACTTGATGGCATCGTCCTGGGTAGAGCCGGCCGCACCCTCGCCGCTACGCTCGCTGGGTCCCGCTTGACGCTGGAACACTTCGCGCTTCTTTGCCCGTATATTGGCCTTGAGTGTAGGCGTAACCGTGGGTATGTTAATAGCTCGTCCGCTTTTGTCGACGGTGCGTCCCTCATCGTCGAGAATGAGCGGCTTGGGACGCTCCTGCTGCTGGGCAGCAGCTGCAGCGGCAGCCGCCACGGCTGTGGGTTGGATGAGGTTGGCCAGATTGCCCGTTAGCTTGGCACGTATCTGGGCCTGCAGCTCTGCGATCTTTCTGGCCTTGTCCGCATCCTCGGGGGTCGGCTTCTTGGATAGCGCCTGTGCTGCCATGGCAACGGGCATACCAATCGAAGGGACAGATGCTAGTAGGGGATCCTTGTCCCGCAGGTTGCTCAAGGCTCTTTTACGCTCCTCGATTTCGCGCTGGGCATGCGCCATCATCAGCTTGATTTGCGTGGAGCTAAGCGAAGAGGCTGCGGCGGCGGCTGTGATGGTCGGAAGCAGCTCATCGCCGTTTTTTTCCTTGACATCGAAGCGAGATTTCTTCGGCGCTTCGACGCCGTCCGCCCCAGGCACGGCTACAGACGCAGCAGCGCGCTTTTTCGCCAATTTCTGTTCTTCGCTGTCGCCATCCTTGCGCGTTATAATGGACGACATAATTCGCAATTAAATTGGTCTGACTAAAAAGTAAAAATTATTTACCAAAAACTTTGCACATTCCTCTCGCGTTTTATTGGTATTAAAAAAAACGCATAGGGTCACACGCGGAGCCAAATATATTTACTCGGTAGAGGTGTCAAAAATCGATGGCACTATCGATAATATCGATTGTCTTGATACTATCGAGCTCTTATCGGTCGCTTCCCCTTCTCTACTTTGATTTTGAAAAGTGCAGTGGTGTCAACCGAAAATCTTGCAGATCCTTTTATACATTCAAATTCAAGCGCATAGTTATCTTTTTTAGAAGTAGCACGATCGCATATAAATAGTTCAAGGTTCAAATGTTGGCAGGCAGGTCTGCTTTTTTTTGCAAGAGAAATAAAAAAAAGGCTTTTGATATTTGAAGATCGCTCAGCAATCAGCCTTGCCACCATATAAGATCCCCGATATAAGAAATAAGGATTTATTTAATTTTGCTTGAAAAATAGCCCTTAAAAGACCTTTCTATCCAAAACTATCGAGTGGTGCCATTTTCGATGGTTTGATTGGTTTCTATTTGTAACCTATCGATAAAATATACCGTCCGAGAAATATAACAAAATATACCGTTTCATTTTAAAAATATACCGTATATACATCTTTTTTGATATTCCGATTAATTAAAATATTTTCTACTTGACTGGTGAGCTTTAAATTCTCATCATTATGGATCGGTTACAGAAAATAACGTTTGAGCAAACAAAATAACCAGTCTATCCAATCGAGAGTACCGAAAGCCGTTTCTTGGGATTGGTTTCCCAAGAGATATCGTGGTATTTTTTTGAAAGAAAAAATAAAGGATAGGATGCACCTATAAGAGTAAATTCTATTACTAATATCATTATTAGTATTATTTTCCGGTTTAACATAAGTTGTTATCCTGTTTAAATAACGGGGGCTTAGGTGGGCTAAGTTCGTTTTTTCATCGGTATATTTAAGGTATATTTTGGTATATTTCCGAGGGTCAGACCGTATATTTGTTCGCTCTCCGCTCCGCCATATTTGTTAAAGCCGCTTGCAACTTGTCTATTTTTTTTCTCGTCGTGTCTGTGTGTGCTCAAATAATTGTTGTGGAAATAAGACGATTATAGTGTGGATAAATAGCTTAAAAGTTGCATTAAGCTGCAAGCATGGCATCGGAGGAAGAGAACGACGATAATTTTCAGGGTAAGTCCATTGTTTTAGTCTACATTTGATGAGTTGAAAATTTCTGGTTGCTCAGAATCTGAGAACCGTGGTCATGTTCAAGAGCCGCGATGCCGCGCAGCGTGCGTTTCATACACCCCCATGCCCCTTTATTATTATTGTTTGTTATGGTCGAAAATGCCAATAAGAAATTTTGACTCGCAGCATTCGATCGAAATGATTTATGTTACAACAAATCTTGTGAAATATTTGATGTGTGTGGCGCGTTTTTCTTCGGTTTTGCGCCTCCTTCATTCTACACAAATTTATTATTGCATTTTTGTATTCTCTCGTTTCGCCAATGCAAGACACGTATAGCCGTCCCGCTCGCACAACAAAACATCTGTTCTGCGTTCTGTGCGGTTGTTTTGTTCTATCGGCGTGTAAAACTTTTATTACATGCACAAAATCATGTGTGAACTTGTTCCCACCCAAGCCATTTATTAGTTAAGGACTATATATTAGATTATCATCTGATTTTGGTATATTTTATTTCGATTAAATTGTATAGTCGCAGTATGGCCGTATACGAACACGGACGCAATACCAGTCGCGGTGTTACCGTTTTGCGATAACAGTAGGACCGTATTTGAAAACGGCCGAAATCCAGAGCCCGAAGAGGGCAACCACTTACATTCATTTCATTGTTGCTTGGACGTGGCAGCCATGACGTGATTTTCTGAATTTTTTTTGTTGAACCAGATTACACTATTAATTATAAAAAGAATTGTAGTTTAAGGGAAATACGTGCATTAATCGTAACAGCATCGTTTGCAAGCGGCTCAATTAAGTGTTAACCGAAAAATCCAGTGCGTAAAATAGTTTAGAAGTGAGTGCAAAAATCTGAAAATTATCAGAAATATTGTGTAAGAAAGAAAAAGAAGCGAAAAAAAATATAATGCATATGCTCAAAACGGAACGGAACAAAGATGCGTGAAAATTTTGTCGCATTTACATTGCTGAATATACATATGTGATTTTCCTTCCACTCCACACGGTGCTCCCCGCCCCCCTTCCGGCTGTGCTCTGTTCACTCTTGATTGATTTCTCCACTTTTTGTGTATGTGTCTGTATGTGTGCGTGTTATGCACGCGCGCTCCAGCTAACGTCGCCGTCTGTCGTCGCCCCGACCCGACTCTGAACGAACTACAAAAAATAAGTTAAAAAATACCATCGAAAACGTATTTTACGCGTTTCAACTACATTTTTAAATAATGATACAAACGAAATAGTAAAATCAACTTTCAAAAAAGTGCCGCTACCGTACAAAATACAGAAAAAAACCACTTAACCAAAATATGCCAACACACAAGTAAGAAGCAGCATTGACAGAGAAAAGAAGAGAGAAGAAGTAGAGAGAGACAGAGAGAGAGAGAGAGCCTGGCAAGGAAATTGCTGGAATGTAGCAGAAAACCAATAAACAATATGTCGCCGCCGCCATGTAACAACAATATTATCAACCCCAATTTTGCATAGAATTTATGTTAATTCACTCGCAGCTGTTCCCGTTGTCTGCTGCCTGCCCTCAGCCTGTCCCTGCCCCCATTTTTTGCTTCTCATTCTCGAAGCTGTTGCATTGTGGGCGTGCGTCTATATGTATGTATATGCATGTACATGAATGTGTGTGCGAGTGTAGAAGTTATCCTAGAGCAAAAACGTGGGAGGGAGCGGGAGAGGAGCTGAGGTGTGCGTCTAATTTTAACATTAAACTTTTGTTTGTTGCTATTGCTGGTGTGACTCGCTCGTTCTAATTAGATTTTCTGCCTTAGTGGCGTTATCCTTGTACGGTTGTTTGTTTACCCGCTAAGTAACATCGATTTATGTATATATGTACATACATATGTATTGAAAATAAATGGATGATGTAGCCGCCTCCCTATTTGTGACGTTAGAGAGCTCTCTTTCCTTCCCCATTCCTCGTCCCCCTTCCCCCGCATGACTGGCTAGCTGGCCCACTTGCTCGCGTTGGTTGTCTCTTGTCGTCTCGCCGTCGCGCGTCGGCTCTCATTTCGCAACTTCAGCATTCCAAAGAAATCCAATCCAAGACTTCTCTTTGATTTCACCAACATTGGAGCGCTTCGTTTGAACCAATTCTCACCCATTGCCGGTTTTGATTCATTTTTAACCTATATTTAATAAAATATTCAGAAAGCATGTGTTAACCAGATGATGAAAGTGTTTATTTTTGCACCCGTACATGAATGACAAACAAACAAACCGCAATTTATTTTTCATAATTTATGGTTAGTCATTGTCTCTTAAAAGTAAACAATCGAGTAATGCGACATTGCATAAATTGCACAAAAACAACAACAGCAATTGAGATGGAAATACAGTTGGTGCGAGAGAGAAAGAGAGTTCGAGCGAACTTGCTTGCTGTTTGTAGGTGTAAGTACTAGTGTGTGCGTATGTGTGTGGTCGAGTGCCACTATTTTGTGCAGTAATGCAAGGGAACTAGAGAGAGGGTGGAGGAGGAAGAGGAAGAGGAGGTAGAGAGCTTCTATGACGTATTAGGAGATTGCTGCTTACGTACGCTGCGCCCTGGACTTGCGTAGATGGGCTCGCAATGCTAGGGACCTGGGACCTTCTGTTGAAACTGCTTGCCGTTTGTTTGATTTTCTCGTAATAAAGATGAACACAAAAGGTTTTCTAGCCACCCATTTATTTATTCATTTGGCTGTTGCCGAGGGACAGGCACGTATAAATATCCACTTGCATATACGTATCGTACTCAAAAATGATATGAAACAACAACAACGTGGCGCCAACAGAAATAAAATTCAATACAAGAAGTGAAAGTATATTGTGTCTGTGTTTATGAGAGCTGCTTTACTGCTTGCAGGTGTGTGTGTGTGTGTGTAGTGTTGGTGTCTCGATCTTACCTTGCTTTTGCGAACGCGAGCACGAAACTACAACGTGCCGTCACACTCGCACGCATTACATTTAATCATGCCAACAACAAGTGGTGCTTTTTTATATCCGCATGTGTGTGTCAAAATGTATGGGTGTGTGTGTGTGTGTTTGTGTGCTGGCATTTCGAAAAGTTTACTTGCTCTTAAAATCTACAAAACTATATGAAGCTCAAATAAGAAATGTAAATATTATTTTCGCTTGGAAATCGTTCTCCCAAATAGAACACTCAATTTATTGATGGGGGTTTTTTTTATACATATACATATGGTATTTGTTGCTGCTGTTCTTTTCATTTTGACATTTGACGCGTTTTTTTTTCGCTCTTTTAAAACGCTGGTAGTGGTGTTGGTGTGGCCGTACTACCACAACTATAAAATCACAATAAGCAGACTGTCGGGCATATTTTGCTGTTTTTGTGCACACAAATGAAATCGGCAGCATTTGACATTGATTACTGTAATACCTTTTGCGTGTGTCTATCTGTGTCTGTTCCGTTCCTGTTGTTTCTCTATGTGTGCTTTTCAATATTTGTGCAACTGCTCGTTGTTTGTGCTGTCTTTTTTTCTACCTATTTACAGTAATTGTGCTGTTGCTCGATCACGAGCAGCGGTGGAGAGGGAAGGCCAGGCAGGCCGCGTTTCAGTTTTTTTCGCTTGAGTGTTGTATGTATTTTGTTTCAGATTATTCGTCGCCCACTGAAACCACCTTCGCATGCACATCGTGACAAAGTTCATACATCAATTGATATTTTGGAAGTTGCGATACATTCTCATGTACATAAATCTTTCATGTACTCTTTATATACGAGTTTAATTATTTGAATACATTCAATGCACATGTGTGCAGGGCAGAACACCCACATATGCAAGATCGCTTTTACTGATATCATTGAGCAGTACACATGTAACTGTGCTTTGTTGCTATGGCTCGCTGGCTGAGATGCTCTCTTTCTGGAGACCACACCCCCTCCCCTTCTGCATATCAACCGAGAGGCGACTCGACCAGAGAGGAGGGGAGGAGGCGAAAGTGAAGGTCATTAATATTTTCATATGTAAATGTTTACGCATCTGAGCGTAGCGCGTACCAAGCGAAAATGTCAAAAAACATAAATGGTCTTATGGCAAATGAAATGCCGTTCGTTTCGTATCGGTTGCCGTCCGTTGTGGTTTCCGTTTCTCGGAACCACTCGCCTCTCGCGACACACAAGAACACTCGGTGGGGTGCTTTTTGTTTTTAATTGGTTAACTTAATTGTAATTGGTATCGGGGGTTCCACTTTTGTCATGACAATTCCTCATTTTTTGCTGTTAAATTGTTACCGTAAATAGGTTTATGGGTAACTATTCTATTTTCTGTTTCTGGGTGTGTACAGCACCGATGTGTGCCGTGTGGCAAGGTAGGGTGGAAAAGCTTTTATGGCCGCACCGCACCGCACCGTACACAAAATTGTTTGCGTCGAACTTGTGTTGTTTGTCCGCACTATCTCGATATCGATGCTTTTTTTTGGCACATGTAATCGAAATCGTTTGTTTTACCAGTGCTGTCTAATTAGCCAATTAGCTGCTAGTGCTGCAAGCTGTCACTTCACTCTGGCTTAGCTTGGTAGCGTAGCGACTAGGTGCATAATTGTTGCCAACGAACGCCATTGCCACCACTTTGCTGCCCCTGTATGTGTGTATGTGTGTATGTGTGTGTGTGTGCGTGTGTACGTGTGCACGTACCCGTATGTATTTTGATTATTGTAATCCGTCGTTAACTTTGGCATAGTTTCTCGTCTCGCGGGGCTGAGAAACCAGAAAATAAAACCGACAAAAAAAACAACCAACATTAAAATTACCAACCCAAGAGACAGGGCAGAGGCACAACAAAAGCAAAAGTAGTTGACAGCCAGCACACCCCGAGAGAGCTCTGGTCTGGTCTGGTCTGGTCTGGTATTCGTGGTATGGTTTGTGTCTCTGCCACCACCAGCCAACAGCCAACAGCCACCAGCCACCAGCCTGCCTCTTGTTACATATCTTTGTAGTTGTGCGGTTGTATGGTTGTAGCTCTGGTCTTGTACTTGTTGTTTTGCGGTTGCTTTAGTCGTCGTCGTACTCACGCTCTTGCCTATAATGTTTATATAATTTTTCGTATCTTTCATTTCTCACATGCACCGCTTTGAGGTTTTTTTTTTATGGTTCGTTGTGGGTTGAGTTTCGGCTTTGTCTTTTTGGTGCACTCTTTCAACCACCTCCCAACACCCAGCAAGCGGACCCAAGCGCAACTTGAGTTCGTCTGTCGGTCCTTTCTTGTGACTACCTGATAGCTACATACATACATATATCCTGGTATTTCCTACCTATATGTGGACTGTAGTGGAAGGAAAGATCTGTGAACCCCCCAGTTCCATTAGCAGCACAAAAAACAGACACCGGAACACACCGGAAACTACGGCATTAGACAAGCCGAGCCACAAGCCACAAGGTACAAGGCACAAGCCACAAGGCAAGGTGATGGCCATACACTGATGACGTTCTGCGAAAGCATCCACGGAATTCTACGGAAGTTCAATTAGCAATCACTACTACAAGTACAAGTACAAGTACGAGTACGAGTACGTGTACGAGTACCAGTGATAAGTGGGGGTGGCAAAGCCATGACAAATTTGTTGCAATTGAATTTGAACGTTTTACTGGAAGCGAAACGTAAACGCTTAAAGCAAACTTCAACTCTGGGATGCATCCCATGAAAGAGTCATTTAATATATAGATTTTTAAATGAAATATTAAAAAGTTGATTGTACACTGCTGGTTTTGTCTGACCTTCAGTCATTTTCGAAAAGATATAGCCTCCATATACTCGTGCCTATATGCGAGACGAGACGCAGGCATATACAAAATGTATATTCATTTTTTATAATGAAAGACACGGCCAACAG